AACATACAACAATGCAAAAAATAATTGTATCTCATGAACAGATGGTTGGAAATCAGTTTGTTCCTTTATTAATGCAGAGCCATACAAAATACCAAGGTGCTCCTAGTTCAAATCTGACAACAATAGCTGAAGAAAAGAAGAAGCTCCAAACACAGATGATCGGCAACTTCATCAGACAGTAATGCTGAGAGTGGAAAGAGTTTAACGTCGATACGACATTCATATTTTATACTTTTGCCAGCAATCTTGCACTGTAAAGACTTCAAGGTATCTCAAACAAATTGCTTCTCAAAATCCTGCTGATTACACCTGAACCATTTCCTCTGAGGTTGTAGTTTTCTCATCCTGCAGAGGATTATCAGCAGTATTTACAGCAGCAGGAAGCATTTACTGGATATAATAAGATTGCTTTTAGATGTAGTGTCTACATAATCAAATTGACACACTGGATATGACAGGCTCTACACATGTATACACTCTCCTCTTTGTGAGGCAAGATATGAAAAGTAAAGTTAATCTCCCGGGAAAAGGATTTAAAATGTTTCTAAAGAGACAAAATAACCCACAGTGCTTCTGATAGGGGTCGTGGGTTTGAACAGATAATATAATTATATATAGTTAGCACTCATGTGGAAAGTCCACTGAGACAAATGTAACATTTGTGATATTGGGCTATATAAATAAACATTGATTGATTGATTGATTGATTGATTGAAACAGTCTCTGTAATTGAGGCTGGTCAGAAGCTTCTCCCTCATTAAGCTGTGCTTAACAATGCATTGCATCCACTCACTGGCTCTTTATAGCTGATAGAGCTAAAAAAGAATAACTTTGCTTTCACAGCGGACAAGAGTCTTTCATCTCCTGCTTATTCGACTGAGCCCTGTGGAAATCAATCGTAGTAAACACGTGAGCGAAAGGAACTTGTGCGATGTGTGTTTAGACATAAAACAAGCAAACGCACACACATGCATTTCCATTAAATCCATTCAGAGAATATAAACTCAGGAGCCTGCAGTGCTTTGAATTATACAAGCCTAAAAAGCAGGGGAGGTGACACAGAAGTGTTTGCTGCTCAGGTATTCATCAGGCGGTGGAAGGCAACTTTGGCACATGATCGACAATTTTAGAAATATTAACGAGTTTAAGTGATTAAGGTCAAGGGGATTTCACTTGATAATTACAAATTACTGCTTTATCCCCTCTTATACTGTACACACATTACTCTATTTAGTAAATGATCCAATGATTTGCTACAGTATATGCTTCTCTGCTCTTTGACTTAATTTGCCGACTATTGATTTTTAGCTAAATAAAAATCAGAAGTCAGCCTTCAACAAAGAGCATCCCTGTATTACACCTGGGTTTCTGCTTGAGGAGAGCACTTGAAGGGTCATGAAATACGAAGTTGTTTTCTTCTCTTTTCACAATCCCACACACAGGTCTCTTGCATAACTGATGAAAATAGTCTGGAGAGGTGAAAACCCAAAACAGCAACACTTGCAGCACAAAGGACACATTTATTGTGAGGTCAATGCATTTCAGATTGAAGCCTTCATATTCATTACAAGACACATGACAAAGAACATTCAAATGGTATGGGCAGGACAGACATTTTCTTACAGATTATATACAGTATATGTCAAAAGACACCCACTCAAATATATACTGTAATTTGGTTCATTATTATATGGTTTCAGGCAAATCATATTATGTTAGAGTGATTGTTTTATAATGTAGATTGGTGACAAGATTAATGAATCTATGGAGAGTTAATGGTAGTCTGCAGGTCTCCAAATTGTGACTCCTAACTAAGTGTGGAATACTACAGTATGAAAACACTCTACAGTGCTAAACATTGAAAGTGTCTATTATGCTTATAAAGTGAGAACCTGAAATGAGAATAACAGAAATAACACATGGGAAAATAGAGATTTTCAGTAATACTTACAGTGTCGGTGAAGAGACTGAATAAACTTCAGGCAGAGAATGTCACAGTTGGACACTGACTGCAACATCATCAATGGGCTTAGACATGCTGTGTGGACTTTGAAGGGAATGAGAAAATGTGAACATTTCTCTGGTCTTAAGCTTAAAAGGCTACCTGGGGCCGCCAGAGATAAAAAAAAAAACTGCACAGATTCCACAGTTATTTTTATTATAATATGAGGAATAAAGACCCTACAGTAACTTTCTGTTGATTTTATTAAGACATGTTTGAAAGATGTGACTGTGACACTCAGATTTTTTGTTTGTTACCTCAGATGTCGATGTCCCCGTGATCTTCACCGCCCACAGAGATGTCAGTGTCACCTATCCCACCGGTACACTTACGCAACGGGGGGTTAATTAAGATTAATGTGAGAGCTGACAAGGGTATTGCTGACTGAGCTGACACACACACACTTGAACAAAAGGCTGAAAGCTGGTACGAGGAGATATCCGCTGGGCTGTGAGTGCAGAATGCAGTTGTAAGTGGCCATGAGAGTGTAATTCATCAAAAAATAAGATTATAAAACTTTAATGTTGTCTCACAAGGCCTCTGAAGGGTAGCAGATCAGATGCTTTCATTTAATCACAAACCACATAAGGGCCATAAAAAGCTGATTTTAACCGAGTGTGTCTGTACAGCTTGTCTGTAAATCATCCTCATTTTTGAAAAAGGTCACTTGAAAAGACTTTGGGAGTGTTCTTTTTTTTCATTGATATGACATGTTTTTATGGCTGTTTTCATTTTGATAAAGCCTGTAAGCCACAAGTTGTGACAAACACGAAAAGTGTAGTCAATTCTCTAGGCAGTTGAAACAGGCAAAGCGGGGAAAAGGTGGGGGGATCTAGGTGAGAGGCTTTGGTATGATAAATTAAGTCCTGGCATTGGTCTCTTCGAGGGAATGTATTATAATAACAAAACAATTAGCTTTAATGAGGTGCAAGTGGTATGGATGAATCTCCATCAGCTGTTGCTGTGAGAATACTGCTTGGAATGAGTCGACAAGAGTTATGCAACATATGTCACACATTGGGTCATTGCCTTCACTTTTCAACCATATTTCTTTCATTTGTTGTTGAAGCTCGATGCTTTTCAGGATGATAATAGACAGTATTGGTTCTTCCTTTGCAACAAAGATAACCAATCTGCTCTTTCCAGCCTTTTATTTCTTCCGTCTGCAGGATCCAAGATTAATATGAGATCAGCACTGCATCCTGTCACCAAGAAAATAAGAAACATTTCCTTTGGGGTGGTTTGTTTGACAAGGAGGATTTCAGAGTGCAATTCACACACATGCACGCACGCACGCACATACCCGCGTTTCAAATAATAGCACTGTGTGTGGTAAAATGATGGGCACTTTTCATAACACTGACAGAATGACATCTTTCTTTCATGGTTTGAATTCAAAGCGACTCAGTAGATTGATTGCTTAATTAATAAGGTGTGTTTGCAACTGAAAACTGATGGGTTTAATACTTTTTTTAGGTCCTGTTGCTACTCCCTTGATGTCTGTAGCACACACACACAGACACACCCCCACACACACACACACACACACACACACACACACGCACACAGACACACTTTCGGAGGGGAATCTTCACTTTGCTTTTAGCTTAGCGCCTTATCAATTGCCTCTTTCTTCGCAGGCGACTGACAAACAGCGCTCAGAGAAAATGACAAATGAATCGATAAACGTCTGAGAGCTGAACTAGAGAATCCATACAAGTAAATTGCGCTCATATATTTACCTCCAACCATGTCCTTCCCTGCGGACACATTCCCTAACTACAACAACAACATCAGCAAACCGCAGACATTTTCTTCTGTGGTTTCTTTTGATTTTTTTCTTTCAAACAGAATGAAACTGTGGAGACAAATGGCAGAAGTCCATTGAAGATACTGGATCCTTTGAGCGTAAGATGCTGCAGCCTGTGTGCTTGGGGTTTTGCAACTTGCATAACAAGGTCTTGCCCAAAGACATTATTATGTGGGATTTGTTAGGAAAGCTCAACCTCACAGTGATTTTGTTACTCGTTTCTTTTTGGATGCAATGCACAGCAGCCCAACGGCACATTATCTGTAGGATAAC